CCTAGGAAAGAGTTAAGTTGTCTATGAACTAGTACCTGGTCTCAATAGTTTTGATTCTTAAAAGAACAATGAGAACCCAAATTGCCTGCCTATCACTGCTAGGTCTATAATAATTACGGTGGACATGACCCTAACAGAAAGCATTTTAGAACAGAGAGGAGATTAACAAGATGCCATTATGTTCTGTAATGTAGTACCATCAGCAAACAAGTATAACTATTCTTTGCCGCATAAACATCTTGTTGTTATTTTAGGTTTATGTATACAAAGTTTCTTCTATCACTGTAATTTGGATTCCTCATTTATAAGTATACTGATATTATGTTGAATTCTTAATGTTCTGTTCTCATCTTCAATGAGGGATGATTTCAATATACACACACCCACAAAATTCATTCCTAGGACACAGATCCAAAGTCATGGCTCTTCAATTCTGAAAAACATTGCCTAGACCCGTGGTTCTCAACCTTTCTAATGCTATGACCCTTTAATTAGTTCTTCATGCTGTGATGACCATCAACCATAAAATTATTTTTATTACTGTATCGTAACTGTAATTTTGCTACTGTTATGAATTATAATGTAAATATCTGTGTTGGTCTTAGGACACCCTTGTGAAAAGATTGTTCAATTCTCAAAGGGGTTGAAATCCATAGACCGAGAACCATTGACCTAGAAATAATTTTAGCAAAACTCATGCCATTTTTGGTTGTCACAACTGGACGTTGTTACTGTCATCTAGTGAAAGAGGTTACCTTACATCTTCATATCAGACACAGAACACTCAAATTCTAACATCTCTAGGTCTTACCACCTCTTAGGAGAACATCAGGGGTGGAATGCAGGGAGGTAGGAGACAGAAGAAGGGGGAAGGGCGAACTGGGGCTGGTATGTAAAAAGAAAAGAAAATAAATTTAAAGAGAAGCATTCAATGCAAATATGCATAGAGGCAAAACACAAAGAATGAAAAACAGCAAATGTTTGGTTAAATGGCAAGAACACATTTATAAAAGGCACGATATGGAAAAGTGAGGATGTCACAAAAGAACAAAATGCACATGAAAAATGTGTTGGCCAGGAGCAGCGAATCGGCCAGAGTCTTTAGAGAGCATCCTCTGTTCTAGCTTGCCTCATACACACAGCTTGGTTTCCATGCTCTGCTTGCTGCATGCTCACCAATGCTTCACACTGGAGAGTACAGAGGAATCACTGGCATAAAAAAGTCTGCTGCTTGAATATGCACAGTTATTAACTTAAAAATTCCACTGATTACTAGTCAAAAGATGCTGAAAATCTATAAATTTCACATTAGGATCTAAGCATTTAAAAAATCTATGAAAACAAACTTTAGAAAGTAATAGGAAGATTATGAGTTAAGACTTTCATTTGCTCCTGTTTCTGGTCTTTTGCAGCCATCTAGATTTAATATTTATGAAATAATCTCTAAGAAACCAGGTGTTCTACAAAATGAACACTGATGGTTAATTTTACATGCCAATTTGGCTCAGTTGTGCTGTTTGTCTGTTTGATTAAACATAAATTTGAAGCCATTATAAAGGCATTTTGTAGATTTAATTCCAATTTTTGGTTGGCTGATCCAGCCTAAAGACAAGTGTCATTATGAAGACTTCAGGTAAAGGTCTAAGAAGAAGAAAAAATCATAGAAACTATTTTAAAAAGGATATAATACAAACTGCTTATGAATTTCCAGGCTTAGATACCCTACAATCATGTGAGTGACTTTAAAAATCTCTCTGGAACATGATTGATTGAAAGACAGATGAAAGAAAGGGAGAAAGGGGCTAGGTACAAAGAGAAAAGAGAAGGAGAGGGAAGGAGGGAGGGAGGGAGAGAGAGAGACTACTAAAATAAGATATTATAGATTACATAGTTAATGAGTACATATTTTCAACAGTTCTATATGAATGAGGTAAAGCAAGGAAAAGGTATGAGTTAGTTGAGTTCTTGCTCTTAGAAAGGATTCTCTCTCTCAGTTTGTTGATGGGCCCTTGTCTCTGTATCCTCAGAATGCCATCTTGCCTTCTGAATATCTACGCCCCTAATATAAAAGCACCCACATACGTAAAAGAAACATTACTAAAACTCAAGGCAGCCATCAAACCGCACACACTAATAGTGGGAGACTTCAACACTCCTCTCTCACCAATGGACAGGTCAATCAGACAGAAACCTAACAGAGAACTAAGAGAATTAATGGAGGTAATGAATCAATTGGACTTGACAGACATCTATAGAATATTCCACCCAAATCGGAAAGAATATACCTTCTTCTCTGCAGCTCATGGAACCTTCTCGAAAATTGACCACATACTCGGTAACAAAGCAAACTTCCACAGGTACAAAAACATATTAGTAACCACCTGTATCTTANAAAAAAAAAAAAAAAAAAAAAAAAAAAAAAAAAAAAAAAAAAAAAAAAAAAAAAAAAAAAATGAATACTCATCTCAAAACAAGGATTGATACTTCCAACCTAATTAACTACAAAAGGTAGTTCTCCAAATATTATTGCAAGGAGCATTAAAATTGCTTTACCTAGTAGTTCATATATATATATATATTTATATCTAAATATATATTACAGAGTGTGTGATAAACTAGAAATGTTCAGTTTGAAAGACTTTTGTTCCTTACAGAGAATAGACTCTGATGTTTCAAGACAATCTAAAAAACAACGTATTCAAACTTTCTGCATTAATAATGAATTCATTTATATCACAGGTTTTGGCATCCAGAAAGAGAGGTGAGAGAAGAAAGAGAAGTTATGAGGAGTTGGTTTAAAGTAGATATTCCAAACAAGAGGATTATTGTGGATTAGTAGGCATAGCAAAGAGAGCTTACAGGAATGTATAACCCCATATAGAAATAAATACTTTCTTATATAAACTGTTGCTTCATTAAAGAGTTCCTTACATGGGTCTTGTATGCTATGATCTCCAATATGTTAGTCCATAGGAATTTTCTGAGACACTAGTGAAATTTTTTATATGTTTAACCTTGGCTTTTTCCTCCAGTGCTTTCTGTAATGAATGACCAAGTAGTGTTGGTGCTGATGCCCTAAAGCGTTGTGCTAAAACAAGAAGAACTGATTTACCATTACATCTCCACTCCTTGTTCTTTTTGATTAAAATATTTGACAGGTGAGGATGCCTAAAATTTGTGGACAACAGGTACTAGAAAAATATTTACAAAGTGACACAGTGAAGTTCTTCCAAGTAGCAGGGATGCAGGACCTCACCCCAGGCCAGAAGAGGAAGAAAAGGCACATTTTCAGATGTGGCTATAAAAGTGTTGATTAATATTGGATAGGGCTTAGCTATTAAGATGGAATAAAATATGTCCTAGAATCTTAGTCTGAGAATAGATTTTCCATTGTATTACTGAGTGCCTTATAAAACTCACTGCCTCACACCCAAAACAGTTTAGAAGTGTGAGATAAACAAAATGAAGTAGTTTCCTGCCTTCAACCTATTAAGAGCACTGTGCTTAATATTAATTGAAACTGAAGGTAACTATTCAGTAATTCTCAGTCCTCTCTTACATTCAGTTACATAATTGGAATTTCATTCAATGAGTCCTATACATTGTGGTGTATATTTATAATTTCAGCTACTCAGGTGGCTATGGCAGGAGAATTTTAAGTTTGAAGCTACTCACTGCAAATTTTCAAGACCTCATTCAAAGTAAAATTACTTTAAAACTTAACAGTACCTTACTTATATGTCAATGGCTAGTATGTGCAACAAACTAGCTTCAGTCTCTAACACCCTTTCTTCCCCATGAAAGGGATCTTTGTTCTCACCCTCTTTTTCCCCCTTGTCCCTCTGAGTTCAGACATACCTCCCAGAAACCTTGCCATTTCTCTCACTGGTACTTTTCAATAACAAACCCTTTCCTGCCTAACCCTCTGTGTCAGCTGCTCTTCCATGGTCCTGAAGTGCTGTGACACATCAGTAAGATTCCTTTGATTTAAATGAAGTAATTAACTAACTAAATAACTAACACTTTCTGCGTTTAATGAGTTTACATGACATCCTTGCCTCTTTGTAAAGTCTTTCTTAGTGTTTTTAATGAATTTTATGCTTTTATCCCATTATTGACTTGTTACATGATGTTAAGCTAGAATGGTACTTATTTTCTTTAATTTTTTAATAATTTATTTATTGTTATTTTATGTGCATTGGTGTTTTGCCTGCAGGTATCCATGTGAGAGAGCCAGAACTCCTAGAATTGAGTTTCAGACAGTTGTGAGCTGCCTTGTGAGTGCTGGGAATTGAACCTTGAACCTCTAGAAGAGCAGACAATGCTCTTAACCTCTTGAAAGAAGAGAGTCGATATCTTTTTTCATCACAGTGTTTGGTGTATAAGATGAACTCAGTAATAGTTTTCCATTGAATGCCCCACTGAAACCAAATGACTGAAGCAATTGCATGGACCAATGGGCCCATGAGGAGTATAAGCCTTCCAAGATATGAAAGAAGACACCAGATAAGACACACTTAAGAAATTTTTCCAGTGCTTCTGCTTTTCTATCAAACACAATGTTGGTAAAACAGAAAGAAAAAAATCTGAAAATAGTTAAAGTATCAGATGCATTGAATAAACATGTCATTTATAAAACAAAAACAAACTGGAATGCCAGGATTCATGCTAGAGATGTAAGTTTATTTAAAATAAACTTGAGTGGAGAAAATGATGAGGTAAGAAATTTACAAGGATGGATGGTCAAAGAAATGATCCAAGAATTTACATAATATTTTAATTTACTAATTAATTTAATGCCAGCTCTCTCTTGCAGTAGATTTGTAAGGTCAAAGGTCCAAGTTACTCTTTCCTCAGAAAATCGTTTCTTCCAGGTAGAGTATGATGCTGAATTCTAGACGACAAATGCTCATCTATCAATCCTAGATGTTGAAGGAGACGCTGGAATTCCACAAGGTGAAGAAACCATCCGGAGACAATGGGAGTCTTCAGAAAGCAGATCAGCAAAAGCGAGAGCTAAAGCCTGGCTGGTAATAAGATGACTGAACACTCTTGGTGGAAAAGTAACCTGGGCGGTAGAATCCGGACCCACAGCCCTGAGAGCGAATGCCACAGCTTCCAAACCCAAAAGATCCAAAACCGGAATTGCCATATCCAAAAGATCCACCAAAACCTCCTTGGCAGGGCCTGGAGAAGTATGGCTTGGGCCGGAAACAGGATGTCTGGAAGTAGCTGGTCCCGACACATGGTGAGTGATCTTCAAGTGGCTCCTCGAAGGTTTCCTGCTGTCCGTAGAAAGAGGAGCCCAGCTGGAAGTTCTTTGGAGAATAGACTACATTGCTGCTGGGGTAGAAGGTGGAGAATGGCTGCCTCAGGAAACCGCCACAAGACTGTGTGGAGTAGTTCCCAGAGTTGCAAACGTAAGACATGCTGTCAGTTCTGGTTTCAGTTGAGTGGCAGTGATGAATCTGCGTCTGTGAGTGCCAACATCTAACACGGGTCCTTATATACCAGAGAGATGGGTGTAGCAGCCTGTGCTCATCTGAATGAGAATGCCTAATTAGCCTCCAGTAAAAACTGAAACACTTTAACCTTCAAAGGACTTGTTATGAATGGGCACTTCTAAATGAAGGGATTTCATTAGTTTTCAAAGCAAGTATTCATGAAGCAAAAATGCTATTTCTCAATATCTACAGTAAGTGGAATGAAAGCCAATATTAGTGAGGATTTAAGATAGATGCTTCAAGATGTGTTCAGAGGGATGATGCAGCAATAATCCTGCAAGGTTCAACACTCTACCAACATTTCTACATTTGTATGCTAGAAAGAGAATTACGACACTCCAAGCTTAGAAACTCGGTGAAAAATAAGCAAAAAAAAATTAAGGTAAATCCCTATTTTATATTTCTTTCTCCAAGTGTTGTGAACATTATGAAAGAAACAATACAATACTAATCCTCAGGAGGAAAGAGATTCAAGGTCAGTGTTGTTTATAACGTTCTTTTTCAACGCGTGTTTGTGCACATAATTCTAGAAGGTTGAGAAGACCGAAGTATGCTTGAGTGCTTAGAACATTATATTTTAAAATGTTTGTCAGAATCAGAATCTCTTTGTTGTCTTGCCTTTCGTCTCTTCTCTTGTTTTATTCTACCCCTTTTCTGTTCTTTCCTTCTGGGTGACACGTTCAGGGCCTCATGTAAGCTCGGTGGAATATGTTGTCGAGACTTTCATTTTTCATAAAAGTCAGAATCCAGTGTCCCCGACCTTCACTGCTTCATGACAGAAGTCATCAATAAGCGTAACAAACTTGCTGATCAAAATACTCTCATCTTCTTAAATTTCATCGCTCCCCTCTTGGTGGTACTGCTGTCACTGGTAACAAAGTAGCAAGCCCTAAACATTATTTTATGGCCATACAAGTTTTTCTTTCGGATGATGGGGCTTTCATTGCAAAACTGTTTTTAAAAATTAACAAAGTGGAGAGTATTTGTCGCATGCAGATGTTAGAGAAATATTAAGAATCTGAAAAATTCACGGTTATAGAAAAGACCCTTGTATATTGAAACATGGACAGGAAAGGGTATCAAGAGGTATGAGAATTTGATTGGAGAAGAAATGACTTTGGGATTTGTTGTGTATCTATCGATTAGCTTATATATCCCTCCTAGAAAACTGTGCACTGGGATTTTTCTATATGTTTCCATTAGGTGTGGCATAATTATCAGCAGAGGTGGTACATTGGTACAGGAATAATAAATAACCCTGCAAAAATGGAAAAACTTTGTATATCATTCACCTCAATATAAATTATATATTGAAAATGAGCCGAGACTAATTTTATGAAGAATTATGATTACTTGGTCTAATTTTTAAGGACAAATCCAAAATGAGCTGCTTTTGTAGGTAAAGAAACTTCTATCCTAAGAGTTCTGGGAATATTGAATCAGCTTGCTATAACTAGAATTCCAATTTGATTAAAAAAAATAACTGGAGACATTTGTGAAAATCTTTTCCAAAGTCTAGATTTTATGAGTCTGTACATTGTAAGCTAACAAAATAAAGAAGAAACAGAGGAAGAAGAAGGAGAAGGAGGAGGAGAAGAGAACAAAGGAGGGCAAATGGTGCTCTTTTATCCAAATAAACATCGCTATTGTTGAGAATGTAAAGGAAATGTTCTACAGTATGAAACAAATCAAGCAGCATCTACGGCACACCAGTACAGCCCTCTGCGCTTTCTCCTCCCCCCCCTCCAGGCATCAGTCTTCATTAGACTCCTGCACTGAGGTGGAACCCAAGCCATGGAAATCGAGGAAATATGACCCTCACACTGGACAGTTTGCAATACTTGTCAGAAGCACCTGAGAACAATTTAAGTCAAAGTGATCTATGTTGTCTTCAGAGTGAAGGGAGCATCTCCTGGCTATGGTTCCTTTGGCCTGACACCTCAAGGCAATTGCTTTATAAGCTTTCTTGAGAAGGAGCACCTTTAGCAGGTTGTGGGGACTGTTTTCAGTGGGAATTGATGACCAGGATTAGAGATACAAATATATTAAACATTCGAGCTTTGTTTCTTTTAATACATTTTATCCTCTTAGGTGAATAACCTTTAGCATTCAAACTAGCCCAAAGCATAGAGTGTACAGCTCACAGCACAGTTAACCGCTCCCACCCTACCCCACATCCACCCACCCATACACATACACAGATAAAAGTTAAGACTGGCATTTAATATATGGAATCTACTCATAGACGGATGCAGGAGAAATAGGGATCTCTCTATATTTCAGTAAAGCCATTCAAACTGAGGTCTGATTTTTAAAAAGTCCTCATACATCTTGCATATCCGCATGTGGATGACTCTATTCATCACAGAAGCTTGCCACTCTGCGGCAGCAATCAGTGTGTGTTTTTGTTTCAAAGAAGTGACTGAGTGGATCAGGGAACAACTTTGCTAGCCAGATGGCAACAATTTTGGACAGATTGTGCAACGGGTATCAATTATTTTTAATTAAGCTAGCTTCCCTCAGCCCAGACAGTCTACCTCTAAAGCAGATTTCTGAGTGATGTACAGGGTGACCTTTTGCTGATGGAAGATGAATAATAGCTTTGAAGATTGAGCACTATTACCTGAATTCCAGGGCCACAGACATCACTGCACTATCCAGTTGTGAAACCACACGAAAAGTAAGTATGCATGACTGTGATGGTATTTTCAGTTCAATTAAAGCCACAGGTAACTTGTATTCATGCGCCATGGGGATGACACACTCAAGGATGGGGTATATAAATGCCGTGTGTCCAAGCAGGATCATTCAAACTCTGAACGTTCTTCTCTTCAAAGCCTTCTCTCTTTTCAGCATGTCCTGCCAAAGCTGCTCTGGAAACTTCTCCTCCCAGTCCTTTGGGGGCCACTTGCAATACCCAGTCTCTTCTTGTGGTTCCTCCTACCCCAACAATGTCTTCTACACCACTGACCTCCAAACTCCCATCACCCACCAGCTGGACTCCTCTCTCCACAGTGGGTGTCAGGAATCCTTCTGTGAACCCAGGAGCTGCCAGACATCTTTTGTGACTTCCAGTCCCTGCCAGAGGCCTTGCTGCCACCAGAGGATTCCAGTGTCCTACAGACCCTGCCACTCAACTTTCTCAGGATCTCTGGGCTTTGGTTCCAGGGGCTTCCAGTCTTTCGGTTGTGGCTACCCAACCCTGGGCTTTGGATCCCGTGGTTTCCAGTCAGCGGGATGTGGTGCTCACACTTTCTCATCCCAAAATTGTGGGTCCAGCTTCTATCGCCCAACCTGCTTGTCTACTAGAAGCTGCCAGTCCGTTTCGTACCAACCCAGCTGTGGCAATGGCTTCTTCTGATTTCACACTGAGGAAACTAGAAATGTAAAAGGTGTCTCCCACCTACTGTGTTAAGAGCTACACTGTCTTTTGATCTTCTGTGTATGCTAGGAATTTGACTTCTACCCACTCTCATGAATCCCTGTAATCAAAACAAGTATTTCGTTTTCTTATCAATATACAGACATGTAAAAGTCAAACATAGTTCTTTCCTCACGTATCTCTTAGTAATTTCTCAGTCCGTGAATGCCTTAACTTTTATGAAGGAGAAAGATGTGAGTTTAAATAAAAATATGCATTTGGACAGCTGCGCATCTTGTGAATACCATTATTGCCTTCATCTTCTTGTTGTCAAAACTACATCAAAATAACTCCTTAAGCTTTTCCATATCTTGCACTTACCATTATAATTTTGAAAAGGAAAATCACCCTATTGTATTTGTAGAATATTTTTTTTCAATTTTTGTTTTCTCCATCTGTTAAAACTTTCACACATTGAAATGAAGAAAACTTATCATTAAGATGGAAGACCGACTTTCTGCTACGTAGGGCATTATAAATCAGTATTTTGTGCAAAATATTTAATTTGGAAGGAATATTAGGTAGACTGTGACATATAGTATTGGGAGAGATTATCTAATAAAAATTCTAAGATATAAGCAAAATTGCAGATCAATAAGAAGTTGCATGATTATCAGTTGATGAAAAATAGGTTGCATTCACTCCACTTTGACTGTCAGAAAAAATTCTGAATGAAATCTCCAACACACACAATAATCCCTAACAAGTATAATGGACATTGTTCATATATTCATTATGTATTTTGGGATGTCCCAGTCTGGCTTTGTGTTTCTGGGATTTGATGAAAAACCTTAAAAAAAAAACTATTAAAACCCATGAAAGTGGCATAGAAGTGGGAAATCGTATTTGAATAATGGACTGTGTGCAAAGACCTCATAACTTAATTCCAGAAATCACCATGAAAGGTGGAGATGATTCAGCCCCCAGGCTCACCGGGTGCTGATTTTATTCTGGTTTTGTCTCAGCATCCAGTATTGTTTACTAATTGTCTCACAGTTTTCCCTTTCCTGAGAATCAGCAGGAACTTCATCAGCATGAATAAGGGCTGGTCTAGTGAACCAGGAGTTTATTTTTGCTATGTGTCCATCTAGTGGGGTTCAAGACTGACGTAAAATTAACTATCTTTTGTTAGACTTAGGATCCAAGATGTCTTCATTTTTAAAAAAATTCTTCTAAAAAAAGAGACCACTTTTCATTCAAAGGTGGCATGCATAAAGATCACGGTGAGAGAAATTATTGTTATAATATACAGGACAGTATGCTCATTTAAAAAAGAAGACCTACATAAAGTTGGGTCTTTCTTGTTCCTTTCCAGGGTTTATTATGAGCTGGTCCATGCCCAGCAAGAGACAGTAATGCCCATTAAGAACCAGTAGGTGGAGGTAGCAGGGGAAAGTTAGGTGTACTTGAAGTGCAGGCATGAATTTATACTGTATCTGAACACGTAAAGAGTAATCTAAACCCTCTAGCTACGGTGGTGTGAGCATGCCTCATATCCTTAAAG